TACACTTATAAATGTTACTTAAAACAGGGAAATTGAAAGACAAACAGTAGGAATCTATTGTTCATTTATTTCATAGCCTCTCCCACACATCTGGATATTATAAAACATAACACCATATGTGTATTTAGGATCATGGGAGTCTAATGTTTTATGTTACATGACAGCACTATGTAAATGTGGCAGAAGTAATAAATGAAAACAAATTTTCTTTTATGAATAAATTGAAGAATATTTTGTCACATCCATTCTGATAAAATTATATAAATGTTTGTTTAACTTGGAGGGGTTACATGCAAAAGATTACAGAAGAAATAATAGAATACTCGTTAAGTGCTCTATTCAAAGTTTCTGTGACAAGGTAAAGTGGCCTACCCTGAAATAGTAAATTCTAAATAAGGTTTTCAACTTTTCAAGCATATTACAATCTATCCCTCACCGTTACTCTGAAAGTTACTTGTCTCAGATATACTCTAATGCTTTGGCTCCATTATATGCACTACTTTAGGTGGATGCCATTCAGAAAGCAATGGTACGTGGTTTACATTTAAGCATCCATACAAATATAAGAAAGTCATCATCATGAATCAAAATTCCAGCAAGTAATTATTGAACCTCTACTATGTCATGGGCATATGAAACTGAATTTTAAGATAAAGCATTAAGAAAAAAGAAATGAGGCCCCTGAAACTCTCCAAAGGACAGAATATAAACTAGAGAGAAGGAAACAAAGATTCTATTAGATCATTAGCTTCCTACGAGGCAGGGAAATAAAACAGAACAAGCTCTGGAGTCAGACCAAATTGGATTCTAATCTTACTTGTACAATTAGCGGCTGCAGGATCATAGACAAGTTGCTGGAACACAGGAATGATAATGCTGCATAGATTGAAGATCATGCATGAAGAGCACTTAATACTTCCTTTGCATGCTAGTAGATGCTCAATAAATAATGAGTTTTTTCATTAATAGTGTTATTAGTAACATCAACTGCAAAATATTAACTATCACTATAGTTAGCATATGAAAAGTTCTTCATAAGTGCTTGCTGAATGGATGAGCACTGAACGTAGCCTAAACAAGGAGATATGCAATGAAGCTCATATGCAACAGAGACAAGATCAAAACACATCCATCTGTCTCAGTTCTTCTGAGAAGGATTTCCTAAAAAAGAAGTTTTACCCTTTCCCCTTTATTTCTGCCTTTGTGGTTGTTTGAATACTTTAAGAGCAACGTAATTTTTCCCGACTGCTAGTACCATTCCCAGAGACAGAGCTAATCTCTCCATTCTTTTATTAAATCATGAAACAGGATTATGATGTTCCACATTTCTGCTTGCGTGGTCCTAAGACATTCAGATAAGGTTAGCAGGGCAAATGACTGTCAGGTACTTGAACAGCAACCCAGGTTTGGGGCCTGAGGATGCCAAGCTTCTGGGGTGAGAATAGATTCCACGGGTTTCCCTCAGTCTCTCCCTTAACCAGGCAGGCTGGCTCCCACTTTCTGCCATCATGGCTAATCTGTCTGAATTCTTCACGGCATGCTGACACTCATTCTGTCTTCACTCACTGTAAGACGAGGCACTGCAGTGAAACCGAAGTGGGAGAAACCGTGAACAGGTGGTTCTGCACCTGAGTCCTTGCTTTGTTCCTCCATTACCTAAGTCACATGGTGTGTGATACATTTTAACAAGTTCTCAGTTTTCTCCTTTGTCAAAGGAGACAAGAAGCAGGTCACTAAGAGCATAGGCTCTGCAGTCAGAAATGTGTGGCTCTGTACCTTGGCTTTCCCATTTATGAGCACTGTAACTTTGTGCAAATCACTTAACTGCTTTTTATATCTCACTGTCTTAATTTATAAAGTGGCAAAAAGAATAGCACAATAGACTAATTTGATAAGGGTTGACGAGGCAATATCTCTAATATACTCACCCGAGCATAAAGCACGTAGAACCTTCTTCTTCTCCTTCTTCTGCTTTTTATTATTATTATTACTGTTATTATGAGATTACCCACTGTCTTTCACGCCTACATTTGTAATCCTCTTTACAAGGACCTTAGCTTGTTTACACTGTAGTATGAAAGTCAGGACGATGTGGCAATGAATTAGAGAACAAGAACAGAAAATACAATGCAGATCTAAAAGAAGTCAGAGGAGACAGGAACAACCAAATGCAGACTAGCAAAACAAAGTAAATATAATAAAAAAGTAAGAGGGTTAGTACTAAATAAAGATATCAAGTCCAGTTGGGATGCTAGAGCACTCAGACAGTAATTTAGTAACTACATATTTAAAGGAAGATGAGTTATATATATGAGTAGGCACCACTTGGTGTTTTGGAGGTATTTTTCTCTAATACATGCAAATAAAATTTATTCAATAACTTAAAAAATAGACTATATGATATTTCATGAAATTTGAGTCTAAAGCTATAAATAAGATGCACACTTCTTGCCCCTTTCAATTTTCTGCGGGAAAAAAGAATTCAATTCCAAATTCTGTTAAAAAATTCCAGTTCAAAGCACAAATGACATAGCAGCCACATGAAACTGTGGTGCTCTGTGGAGTTAGTTTGAGAGTTTTGGAATTGGAATTATCTGATAAGAAACAACTCAAAGGGATGGTGAATACACAACTACATAGATTTTTGGGAAGCTTACCATCAGAGAACGTTTGTACAAACGTACCCTATTTCTGTGAATTTGTTTCACAGAAATCTGAGAATTCTATTGCTTTAAAAATGACTGGATGGGGCGCCTGGGTGGCTCAGTCGGCTAAGCATCTGACTCTTGATTTTGGCTCAGGTCATGATCTCAGGATCATGAGACTGAGCTGCGTGGGGCTCCGTGCTCAGTGGGGAGTCCACTTGAGATTCCCTCCCTCCCTCTCCCTCTGTCCACCCCTGAGCTCTCTCTCTCTCTCTCTCTGTGTCTCTGAAATAAATAAATAAACCTTTAAAAAAATAATGACTGGAATCTAAAAGGAACAAAATGCAAATATTGTCAATGCAAAGTGGTATTAAAACAAAACAAAACAAACAAGCAAAAAAAAAAAAAAAATGCTCTTATCCCTAACCTAATGTTCTTCCAGCACAGTACCTCAGAAACTCACAAACCAGGGGAAAGAAGATGAATTACATCTGAAGTAAAAAACATGAAGCGTCAGAAATCAAAAGGCTATGATAAGTCTATAATGTGTCTAGTTCACGGGGAGAGAAATTCACAAATTTGGCAAAGCATGAAAAGGGAGGGAAAGAATAATAACCTAGCCATTTCAAAATTAGTTTTTTAAAAAAATTATCTCTAGAAAACTAAATTCTTTGTTGTTAAACTTGTTTTCCTTTTATACAATCAAAATCAAATGAGTATTAGGCAGAGGTATTAAGATCAAAAGTGGAAGTATGTATTGATTATATTCCTTTTTTGCTTACAGTGGTAGTACTCTAAACTTGACCCTTCTGTTCCTGTTCTATCACTAAGATATTCTATGTGTTTACTAATCTTCATTTCACTAAGAATTCATGGTCCCCTGATTTCTGTTTCAAAGGTAGTGTCTAAAGGTGCAGTGTTGTGCTAATGTTAACAGCAGTTATGACAGAATCCATGCGAGTCAGCAAGAGGAGGAATGAAGTGCTATGCGTCTTATCTAGAAAACTACGTGGCCTGCTAGGGGTCCTAAATTAACTTAATGCTTGACATCAGCTATCATGAATTCAGGGGTACTCTGGTCAGGTCTCACCACCGCGCTAGGGCACTAACACATATTTTCTAGAGGATCCATGACATTGCTAGCTAGACTTTTTACCCAAACTTCAAGCTGAACATCACCACAGCAAAACTTTATTGGGAACAACACCACAAAACTGTGAAGATTTTAAAATGTCTTCCCAAATGAAATTTAACAACAACAACAACAACAAAATAACAGATATTTAAGAGACATAGCAGAGAGTGAAGATAATGGCCTCATTAGAACCCATCAACACTTACTTTTCTGTATGAACATGAGCTACTTTAAATTACTTTGTACTCCCGTAAGTCAAAATGCAAAACTGTAAGGATCAGGAAAAATCAGAAAAGGAAACAGCCCACAGTATAGATTCCGGCATAAGCCACAGCATCTTTACTGAAATAAATTGGTTACAAGTGGGTCCTTGCCGGGGCAAGGCAGAGGGCAAGCACTTAAGACACTGTCTCTTCCCTGGGAGTGGTCTCTATGTTTCATCAAAAGAAGAACGTCTTGAGATTTCCAAGTAGTGTCCTATACAATTTTTACATTTGTTTATACTATACAAATACTGCAAGGTATATATTATGTGTACATAATTATGGGAGTTATTATACACTTAGAAAACAGCATACCATTGTTTAGAATGTATAATGAAGTTTTTTAAAAAAAAGTTTATTCTGTTTAACACTCTTCTTAGCCTTAAAATACTATGTAACTTCCTAAAGATTGTTGTCTGGTCTATATCAAAACAAATTGTACTCATACTCAAAATTACCTCTGATCTACTCCCTGCTTCAATATGAGTCTGTTTTAACTTATGTTTTATATTTCATAGGATAGCAACAAAATAAACTTAAAAAAAGAGAATAATCAACTTACCCTCTATTATCATAAATTTGCAATATTGCCACTAACAAACATAGTTCCAACCTAGAAGCTTACTTGACTTAGAAAGTCATTTTAATAAGTAATAGAAAAATTATTTAATAACGTGCTCATCATTTCTATTCTTACTATCAAAGAATTTCATCAGTTTACTGATCATGTAATTTTTTTTCCCATACAGAATGATAACCTTTGGCAATGTGAAACATGAACTTCAATGTGAACTTGAATAATTGCTGTTTCTCTATAACTTGCTGCTGTGGAGAACATGAGCCATTTGAGAGCTGACATCTAAACATTTGCAAGAATTGGGACTTTCAAGCCCCGCCATCCTTCAGTGAGTATCATCGGCTATTAACTTTAAAGCATTTCTGCAGACAAAGACCCACCTCAGGCTCAGGACTAGCAGCTGCTCCTTCGACTTCAGTAGCTCCCCCACTTGAAAACTGGCATAGCCCAGGAAGCTTCGCTGAAAATAAGAAAAAATGGTTTTCATTAACTTCAGAAGTCCTTAATATTTTTGCTGTCACACCAATCATTCAAAATTAGAAGAATGAAATGTCGACTCCGTGAGCCTGACAAATATTTCACTTGCAGAGATACAATCATCACTGACAGAGATACAATAATAGAGCCTTCTCATGGGGTGAGGTTCAGGGGTGCAAATGTATCCTTTTCATTAAAAACAGAGAGACCAGTAGCCTGGAAAATAACAAAATGTGTAATACCGAAGCCAGGACTTTTCTGTGAACTAATTTTCTTCCCCTATGAAAACTGGGATAGAAGAAAAGAGGATAAACTTTCAATATTTACCAGTGCTGTCGTCGTTCTTATTAGAATTCCTCAAGTCACTGGCAGCAACAACTTTGTATTCCAGATATGAGCAAATCTGTTAGTTGGAGCTATTTTTATGTGGGACTCTGTACAAGTTATAAATAGAAATGCTCTATTTCCCCCCCATCACAGCAATGTTGAAAAGCATTTGTTTCCTTTGTTATTTCTATACTAGCATGGGACAACTTCATTCCAATACACAAAACAGAAAGGTACTTATTCTGGTACATTTTCTAAAATTGCTTTTTAAACCTATCATACTGGCTGTTGTCTACAAATATCTCCTTTCTGCACTTTGACTCATAAGGTAAACAATAAAACTCTAAATTGGTTTTTCTTTTCCAGGATACAAATCTTTCCTCTCTTTTTAACATTCTGGGCTACTTCTGATTTAAAAGTCAAAATATTACGGTGTACCATAAAGAGTATTTCTCATGCTCCCCTCAAGGTCAAGAAGTAAACATGAAAATATCAAACCCATATCATCTAGGCCATTGCTGCCTAACACACTGTAACACTCTACAAGAAGTCGACACTACATCTTCCAGAGCATTCTCTCTTCATGGGTCTGTTGTAGGGCTGCGCTAGAATGAGAGCCTGGACTTGAGGGGTCTGAGGACAATGGGGTCTTTTCAGCGAAAAGTGTGCGGTTATTTCATACACAAAAGGCTGCAACCACACTTAGCAATTGTAAAGCATAAGAAAGACAAGCTTCAGGTCCAAATTTTTCTCCTCCTTTTCAGTTTAGAATTGTTTCAAAAAAACTCAAGGGCGAACATTGAAAATACAACTCAGTTCTAAAGTGGGAGATGCCTACACGTTAGCAAGGATAAACCCAATGAACTAACTTGAAACTCACAGAGCTGGCTTAGAGACACCAAATCACCTAAAGCCAGAAGAACATGAGACTAAATTATCAGGAGAAGGACGTCAGGTGAAAATACTATTTGTGGCGAAAGCTCTGATGATACGTCAATGAGTGATGAAATGAGAATGAGTCAAGGCAGAAAAGGAAGTCCAAGTGCTATATGGACAAAGCATGAAGGAATTTCGGGTAACTTTTCAGCAAAGGGCAGAGAAGAGCCTGGGAGAGATCTGGCTGAACAAAAGCATTAATGTCACCTCATCAGAGATAGCTACTAGAACATCCTTTATGAGCATGCTGCCCCATCTATATACTCTGCTATTCTCTATTTCTTATCCTGTTGTATTTTTCTCTATTGGCACTTATCACCATATGACATATTATATATATATATATTTGCTTATTTTGTAACTCCCTTGGAAATAACTGAGATTTGAAGCTCCACGAGGAGCTTATTTTGTTTTCTCACAAACTCATACTGCTTAGTGCACAGTAGGCATGTGATAAATGTTTGCTGACAATAAATGAATGAACAACTGGCATAAAAACTAGCTTTCAGGTTAGTCACTCTATTAGATATAGATATTAGAATGTTCTTTCCGTAGGTATTTACAAAGTACTGTAATTTGCTGAAATGTGGGAAATCAAAACAATTTTAGTGTGCGGATTGTGTATCGTTGTAGTGAATTTCATTGTAGGATTTTGTAGTTAAACAGATGTCTATCTCACTTCCTCTTTCCCTGATTATCAGGGTTTTTAAATTCCTACTCCTCATTCTTTATCCTCATTCAAAGAAAACTCTTCACTGATGAGAGGTTTCATGATGCCCCAAAATTTCAGATGATTTTCTCTCTGCCTTTTTAGATTTTGAAGGTATGGATGGTTTGGGAATTAATAAAACAAACTGCACATGTCATGAATGTTACTGAGGTCTTTTCATCAATAAAAGTGACAAATGCCCCAGAGTGGAATGAGAGACAGGTGGAGTGGCTATTTTCAGACACGAGCTACACACACCCCATGAGGCCCAGCTGCCTGTAGAGTTGTGACCACAGCCACTGAATGTCTCCTCTGTCCACCAGATCAGGAGCTGCCGTGGAAGCAGGACTCTGGCTTGTCCATCCCTGAGCCAAGCCCAGGGCTCCGAACAGAGGGGCTGCAGGGTATGCCTACTGTCTCACTGTACCTGCTTGCAGAGGGCCCAGGACAACGCCCAGGAGTCAAACTTTTTCTACCATAACCGGCAGCCACAGGCTTCATCTCAAAGGATAATAAGAGATTTTACAGAACTCATACGACTTGTGAAAAACTAATTTAGGTTATGACATTACAGCACTGTGTTATGAAAACATGTCAAACCCGAGGAGGTGTTATTTAGGTACAAGATTATCTTCTTTGTTCTACAAATCACTGTCCATGGGGACTCCCTGTGGCATAAAGCGCATTAATGAAATCCCCAAAGACAGGGTATAATTGTCCCACGCTGCAACACTAACAATGGAATTGCCTCTATATTTACTTTCTGGCAGGTGTTTTTGTATTTGCTTCCCCTCAACATAAATAAAACACATCACTCATATACATGGATATTGACTGGACTCCTGTAAAAGAATGAATTAGAGGGAAACAGTCTTCTCTGTTGCTGGAACCTAAGTCCCCATGGAGGGAAAATAGCACGCTAATGCTAATGTAAAAGAATAACTTAATATAAAGCTATTCTATCTTTGCTATCACTGTAATCATAAGCATGGAATTTGAGAGACATCTTTAAAAATTTTTATATTTCAAATGTAACTCAAGGAACAAGCTTTTCCATCTCCAGGGCTGTTTCTAAAATTCTCATCTTTAAACTGGGAGCTCTAATATCAGTGGAAAAATGTGAAAGACAAACCAAAAAATTAGTCTCCCTGGAGTTGGAGATCAGAGGTCTGGAGTGTCACTTTATTCTGTCCAAAAATGGAAATCTGGGCAATTAAATCACTTCTCCCAGCCCCCAGACTAGCTATCCACTAATGGGTATTGTCAGGCCTTGTTTCTCTGTCTTCTCTCTTACAAATCTGTGGTCTTGAACGAGTTACTTCACCATTCCCAGTTATAACTGCTGTAGGAAAAAGTTGCATGTGATAACTCTATCATTCTCATAGTTTTAAGAATCAAAGTAAGCTAGGCAAAGCACTCAGTACATTGCTGGGAAGATAGGAAGTTAAAGGAAGTTAACTGGCTTACACTTGGTCCCAGAACTAGTTAATATGCAGAGGCCAAGTTGGAATCCAGGTTTCTTGCTTTTTGGTCCAGCATTCTTTTATCCCCATTACACTGGGCTTTATTTCCAGGACAGGTGGCCATTCCCTCTCCTTCTGCCAGGCTCTCTGTCTGCTCAGCATGTGGCTCTGACCTTTTTTGCCTGCTCATGAGAGTGTGACACTCACAAGGATCATTCTGGTGCAAGCACCCAAAGCAGAGGATCACTCAATGGCTTCCTGCACAATTTCACTCACTCACCTGGCTGGAGAGTGATATCAAGCAGGGCGAAAAAAAGTGGGGCATCTGCCTCAATCTCTGGTTGCTCTCTATATAGAGTGTACAAATAAACAGTTTATCCTACCAGCCCTTGCAGGGACTCTGAGCAAGTCACAAGTATTCAGAATGCTTCGGGGGTTGTACACCTCTCTGCAGCACGCCCTCAATGGTCCCTGGTTGAGCTGTACTATACAAGGAGCCAAAAGAGGTACAGCCCTGTACACCTTGCCGCGAGCTGGCCAAACCTCCATCACCTGTGTTCATCTCGCAAAGCCTTTAATCAAAGCATAGGTTTCCTTTATACGGCAATTTCTAAGAGCCTCCCAAGCTTTTCCAAGTACTGTCTAGAGCTGTACGATCCAATGGGTAGCCACTAGTTCAAGCACGGGCCTTGTGGCTACTCTGATTTGAGATGTGCTGTAAGGATAAAATACACATAACATTTAAACAACATGGTATGAGAAAAAGAGTGTGAAATAGAGTATTAATAATTTCTTGTACTGATTATATTTTGAAATGATTACATTTTGTATATATTGGGTTCAACAAAATATTAAAATTCATCTTGCCTGTGTCTTTTTAATTTTTTAAAAGCCTGTAAAATTACATATGTGGCACACATTTGTGGCACACATATTTCCACGGAAAAGTGCTGGTTTAGAGGTTAAATGAATATATCAATAATACTTTACCTATTCTTATAAAACTATATACAGGAACTGTCGTACAAGTTTGAAAGGCCTTGGAAGAGCTGAACTTGATAGCATGAGGCCGATACCCAACATCTCCTACATGTAACTCACAGCACAGGCCTTTTTTTCATAGCCCGTGTACTTTTTCTTCCCTGTCAATCCTAACAGATGTGGTTACATGGTTTCCCATGAAATAGGAAGGGAAATAAGACACATGAACTACTCACAGCGAAAAAAAAGAAGAAGAAAAAAAAAAAAGACTTGGGAGGAAATCTATTAAAAGTAGACAAACAGTCCAAAGAAAACATTACAAGGCATTTTAGGGTAAAGTCATATATTTAAAAATTACATATTTACTATGAATATACCTCAAAAGGTCTCAGCACAGATTGGTATCTGCTTCACTAAGACATCAACAAAAGGTTTGGGTGCAGCCAATGGATACTGCTTAAAAATGCAAAGAAATGTATAGAACATATTTGAGCTATTTATAATAAAAAGTCTCAGCTCATTTTTTTTTTTTTTAAGATTTTATTTATTTATTTGACAGAGAGAGAGCACAAGTAGGCAGAGTGACAGGCAGATGGAGAGGGAGAAACAGGCTCTCCGCTGAGCAGGGAGCCGGATGTGGGGCTCGATCCCAAGACCCCAGGATCATGACCTGAGCCGAAAGCAGCCGCTTAACGGACTGAGCCACCCAGGTGCCCCGTTTCAGCTCATTTTTAAAATCAGTGTAGTCAAGAGCTAGAGTCGTGAGCAGGTTGTAATGGCAGGGCCAAGTCTTGGCCAAGGGCTCAAACTCTCAGACCCCTTGTGTAGTGTCCAAAGAAATATTTTGAGGATTAAGTGATGAGATATATATTAACCAGGGGTACATGATAGGTGCTTAAGATGTGGCAATTCTTCTCTATCTAGAATACTGTGTACTCTGAGGGTATTAGAATGCCAAGGCATGTGAACTTGGGTTTGTTCTTATTTAGGCTCATTCTTACTATACTTGAGATTTAGGTCTACAATATAATTGCCATTTTATTGAGTTCTGATGTGTCATAAAGTGTACTAGATTTTTACATATTATTAAAATTTATATACTATTGCAATTGTTTTTAGATGCCTCCCCCTTTCATTCAGGTGGTTCTAAAAAATTTAAGATGGTTGGCAAACCAAAATCATGGTGTGCTTTCTAATTCATTCAATACATATATCATAATTTACTAGTTTCCAGGCACAAAGCTAGGGCTGTTAGAGTGAACAAAATAAATAGGCTCTTTGCTATCACGGAGTTTAACATGTAGGAGGAGCGTGCAGACATTACCAATATCTAATACCTATTTTGCTCACTTTTCATTACTAATAGCACCTTGATTTTGTTCCAGTGGGAACTGACCCGGATTCTCTTCTGCTTGGGGACTCCTGTCTTCTTAGTGATAGGTACACAGCAGTATACCAATTGAAATTTCATCAAAAGTTACTGTTTCCCAGAATTGAAGGAACAAGATCAGCTGCCTTTTGTCCTTCAGTCTTCTGAAGGTTCAATGGTTAGACTGGACAATAACAAAGGAGGAGCAGGAAGGTAGATAGAACCTGGTTGCTCGAAGTCATTTTTGAGTAGCTACAGCCTTGGGCAATTACCCCAAAACTTTTTCTAACATGAGAAAAATTAGTCTGTTACTTTTAAGCCACTGTTTGTCAGGTTACTTGCTTCTGAATGCATTCCTAACTGATATAATAGATATGTCACAGAATGTCAATTGAGAATTTTCTTTTGACCCAAGAATTATAGCTGAGTCTTTGTCAAAGACAATATACCAAATGCACCATGGTATCAGTTAGAGAACCTTTAGTGCTTGGAGCTAGAAACCTCCTCACAATGCTTAAAAAGAAGCCAATTTAGGGGCGCCTGGGTGGCTGACTCAGTTGAGTGTCCAACTCTTGATTTCAGCTCAGGTCATGATGTCTCCGCTATGATAGTGAGAAAACAGCCGTAGACAATGCATAACTGAATGTATTCAGAACAGACAGTTGGTGAATGTGACCCACAGGCTACAGATCTTTAACTCCTAGGGATCTCTTAATCAGTCCCAATTGGAATATAGTTGAGAAAGTGATATGTTTAAATGTCTTGAATTGTCCTATCATTAAGGGTATCAGCATTTTTTCAGTAATTACTTTTAAGCTGTTTTCAACTGACTATAATATAGAATTTTTAAATACAAAATTGCATTAAACACAATCTGTGTTCAATATTAAAGCTAAAAAAAAAAACCAATATGGACCTCGTTACCACGGGTACTACTTTGACTTTTAAAAATTAATTCATGGGGTGCTTGGGTGGCTCAGTCAGTTAGGCATCTGACTCTGGGTTTTGGCTCAGGTCATGATCTCAGGGTCGTGAGATGGAGCCCCGCGTCGGGCTCTGTGCTCAGCTCCCACAGTCTGCTTGAGATCCTCTCCCTCTACCCCCCCCCCACTCATGCACCCACATGCACCTTCTCTCTCTTTTTCTCTCTCTCAAATAAATAAATAAATCTTAAAAAAAAGAAGCCAATTTAGAGAAACTGGCCTATTAGTAACCATGACACACCCAGTTGATATAAAGGTAGTGTTAGAAGAGAGGGAAGGTGAGCGTTTCGGGAGATGCACTATTTAGGAAATGAGGCTTATCTCTTTGTTATATCACATTTAGGAAGACACCTCAAAGTCAGAGGAGTCTGGTCCCAAAACATCAATTATCAAGCTTGGGGGTGTCCAAAGCACCTTTAGTTCCACTACATTGGGGACTAGAGATTGTCTCTCCTTTGAAAATCACTGACAGTCTAGCCCCTGATACTGGCAGGGCTTGTAGAAAGTGTCAGCAGAGAGATGCTGAGCCAAGAGAGGAAACAGTGGCAGGACAGCCTGCACCTCTTCTGTGTGGCATGGCAAATACATGTGCCTTTCATCTGTGCCACGCAGCCCTGAGAATGGCCGAACACGCATTACATGCTGGAAAAGTAGGTCTCAGCAGCAAGAGAGTGCAGGGTGAGCCTGGGCGGTGGAGAACGTCGAGCCAGGACAGATTCCCCATGGTAGGGAAATATGCCATAGGAAGGAGCCCATAAGGTCTCCAGAAATACCTACAGCTGTGCTCGTAACAGATACAGCATTTCAGTATCTGCCCCGTGCTGACAGGCAGAGCTGGCCTGAGCAATATCAAGACCAGCAGAAAGGGAACCACACCCTCACTGTGGGCAGGAACAGAAGGAATCTCTCCCCATTCCTCTCTCCTTGCCACCATATGAGCAGTGAGAGGCAGGACCTGTGTGAGAATTGGACTCTGTGCCCCCTGCCACTACACGAAGCTAGAGGTACATGGATGTCTACCCTACAGTGGGAGATGATGGGAGGAGAGGGGGGAAGAAAACAATTTAAAATCAGGGAAGAAACTCAAGTTTTAAAATGAGTAAGATGTATTTCAAGAATTTGAATGAGAGAAAAAATGGAAATGTACATAGTTAGGCCAAGATGTCCTTAAAGCTTCAAGCAAGGGGGATTTAACACTGAGTAGTTGTGGGAATGAGCAGCTGGAGGAGGAAAAAAATTAAACCAGCTCATCTTTCTTGAACCTCAAAAATTAAATAAAATTCCTTATAAAGTAATGCATTAAGTTAATAGTTAACAAATTTCAAAAGAAAGTAGAAAGGGTGTGATGACAGCTTGCAGTGGAGGTTCCCATTTGAAGGAACACATCTGAGGTGGTCAGAGCCCTGGGCCCCCAGCCCTGAGCAGCGGGAGGGAGGTAGGCGGGAGCAGCGCTGGGCAGGGAGAGGTTCCTGTGACCTGCAGCAATGAAGGGCCTGAGGCTGGAAAGAACTTGTTGGTCCCTTTGGAGAAACTAAGCTAAACGTACAAGAAGTTTGAAGGGACAGGTAGGAAAGAAAGCATGAAAATTCACTTGAGTCAAAGAGACTCAACCTGTCCCCAGTAAAAAAACAGAAGCTCCTGATAGGCATGAGAGAACACAAAGTGCCCTATTCCTTCTCCTTCACAATCAAATGCAGAGATGGCTGATATTCTTCTCAGTCAATTCAACTCACGCTTTGGTGCATATATTTGAGAGTTCTGTTGGCAGGTTCAGACGGTGGCTGTTGCCAATGACGAAATGATCAGGACATAGGACACTGCTCCACACGTCAACTTTCGGAAGAAGGCTGTCAACTGCCTATAGGATTGCTGGGAATTCCCAATAGGCCTTTCAGTTGGCTCAGTCCCATGGCCTCTTTAGACCCAACTTATTTCTAGGCTTTTTCGATCTCTCTGCACAGATCCCAGGGACTCAGCCTGCTGGGCTCTCCCTCAGGAGTTGCCACCACCTACTCCTGGCTTACCTAAGCAAAACGCACATTACTCTCTTCCTGCTCTTCCAATTTCTAAAAGCAGTAGATGTGCTGTTCAGATGCAGCAGGAAAACTTTTGCAGGATTTTGCAGCACTGGACTGCACTTTGGTGGCAGCTTCTGTTTGGACCCGCAAATGATAGACTTAGAAGTGATACATGTGCCTTCTGGAAACATAAGAAACACTTACCCCAACCTCTGGCAGGGGATCCTTATGTTCAGGTAGGACACTGGTTCGAACCTATAGAGAAAAACAAACATTTTCTTCGGGATTTTGAAATAGAAACCAGTGCAGAAGCTTCACACAGGTGCTGGATGTCATTTTCTGTCATCGGGCATCAATTCAGACGCTGGGGTTAATCATGACTGAAGGTACCTGTGTGTACCACCTGCTGCAGCACCGCAAAGGGGCGCTTTTATCCGCGCTAGGCTTCCTGCTTTTCCTAAGCAGACAGAACTGCCAGGTCCTCACCCCATCACCCCTCGTCAAATACAGAGATATCTGGGCTTAAGGTGAATCACCTTTTTTTTTTTTTTTTAAAGATTTTTATTTATTTGACAGAGAGAGAGACACAGTGAGAGAGGGAACACAAGCAGGGGGTAGTGAGAGAGAGAGAGAAGCAGGCTTCCCGAGGAGCATGGAGTCCGATGTGGGGCTCGATCCCAGGACCCCGGGACCATGACCTGAGCCGAAGGCAGACGCTTAACGACTGAGCCACCCAGGCGCCCTATTCTTTTTTTTAAAAAAAATATTTATTTATTGGGCGCCTGGGTGGCTCAGTTGGTTAAGCGACTGCCTTCGGCTCAGGTCATGATCCTGGAGTCCCGGGATCGAGTCCCGCATCGGGCTCCCTCCTCGGCGGGGAGTCTGCTTCTCCCTCTCCTGCTCTCTGTATCTCATTCTCTCTCTCTCAAATAAATAAATAAAATCTTTAAAAAAAAAAATATATATATATATATATATATTTACTTTTTTATTTTAAAGATTTTTATTTATTTATTTGACAGAGACAGACACAGCGAGAGAGGGAACACAAGCAGGGGGAGTGGGAGAGGGAGAAGCAGGCTCCCCGCTGAGCAGGGAGCCCGACGTGGGGCTTGATCCCAGGACCCCGGGACCATGACCTGAGCCGAAGGCAGACGCTTAACGAGACTGAGCCACCCAGGCGCCCCAAGGTTAATCACCTTTAATCTCCACAAAAAGCAGCCCTCATTCAATATTCAAGGGGAAGGAGAGAGTTGATATAGAGAAAGTTATTCCATGCAAGCTCAATAAATATTTATTTTCCAAATGAGCACCAAAACCCACAGTCTTTATAGGATATCCCTCCCACTTGAGAGTTCTGGGCCAAATTGTCAGATACCATTATCTAAATTCATTTGAAAACTAACTCTCAACTCGGGGAGAGGGAAATAATATAAAATAATCAGTCATCTGGGGAAGCTTTTCATATGTTTGAAAGTGTTCCAAGTGAAATATCAACTCCTTAGATGGTAAGTAGACATGTATCTTCTACTGAGCAGTGATCCTTAATCCTGACTGTGCATTAGAGCCACCCGGGGACCTTTCAAACTCCTGGTGCTCTCTCCTGCCCCCAGATATTGATTCTAATGTACAGCTGAGTCAATGTTTCTCTATTTAAGAAAAAAATGTTTCAAATGAAATCACGATGCTCTTTCTCACTTAAGAAAAAGCTAGCAAAAGCAAGAAACACATAAAACCTAAATCTAGTATATCTTAATTTGAAGTAAGGATTGGATAAACAAGTTAAATGAATACAGGGCAATAGACAAGCATACTCTAACTGGAGAGCAGAGGAAATGGGGGATGGATGGGAGAGAGGAACCCCAGAAACACACGATCGATCAATATTTTAGGGGTCATTTTCACAAAATCCCTTTGGAGGTGCAACACTGCCAATCATAATTCTCTTGAAATCCTTTAAGTCCTGACATACCTGACCGTACCTGGTCAATTCTCCCAGGTTGAAGGGATACTTATAATACGGCTCATAATGTCAAAAGACTTGAACTAGCTCCTAAGGGCCTACTAATCTTTAACACGGTTTCCATTTCCTTGGAAAGAGCCTCAAGCCATGGGTAAAACAGTGCATTTTAACTTCCAGCTTAATGCTCTTTCTGTCTTTATGACAGATCCAGCACTATCACTTGCACAATTTGTCAGTCATTACGACTCAAAATTGTTCACCAGAGCACAAAATAAATGACGGTAGAGATCCCAACAGAGTAAGCAACACAATTTGCAGAACAAACTCAATTCAGGATTTCATAACAGTGCTCACTGGCTAAGAGCATTTGCAGTGTGGTAGCTGCATTAATGTTCTTTGGTCTAGAATGTTCAGATGTACCATTCAGTCTCATTATCTGAAAATCATTAGCTGGCCTCAAAGGATGAGGAATCTATGTATTAACAGGGGACTGTAATGGACCATATAGTGTGTGCATATATATGATCCATCTCTCTCTCTCTCTCTCACACACACACACATACACACACACAGACTATATATTTTCTCTGTGTGTGTGTGTGTGTGTGTGTGTGTATGTTCAGGTAGGACAGTGGGTTCGAACCTACAGTGAAAAACAAACATTTTCTGTGTGATTTTGAAACAGAAACCAGAGAGAAATAGAGAGAGAGAGAGGGACTAGTTCTCGCCCTCATCCACAGTTTCACTTTTCATGGTTTCATTATTACCCACAGTCAACCACCCTTCTCTGGAAGCAGAGGATCCTCCTTTTGATGTATCATCAGAAGGTCAATGCCAATGTGATGCTCCATCACCATGCCTATGTCATTCCCCTCACTTCATCTCAGCACATAGACATTTTACCATCTCACATCATCATAAGAAAGGTGAATATAATACAATATTTTCAGACACACACACATAGCTTTTATTACGGCTTATATTGTTATAATTATTCTATTTTATTATTAGTTATTGTTAAACTCTTATTGCACCTAATTTAGAAATTAAACTTTATTATAGGTATGTATGTATAGGAAAAAATACAGTATATGTAGGGTTTGGTATTATCTGTGGTTTCAGGCATCTACCGGGGGTTTAGGAAGTATCCCCATGGATTAGGGGGGACTACTGTATACACACACACACAGACACACATTATATATATAAGTTGTATATATACGTATATAATATATTAAGTGTACATATATATACACGTGTACGTATATATAGTGTACATATATATGTATATAGAATACATTTTGTATATATAAAAATGTGTATCTAATATATATTAGAATGAACTATGTATACAGTGAATATATATTCATACACATGCAATCCATTCACACACACATATATATGTTTATGCATCATTTTAAGAAAGTATTTGCCATCCAAATAACATTATCCAAAGGATATGCTTGAATTTATTTATTTTATTTTTTTTATTTTTTAAAGATTTTATTTATTTGACAGAGAGAGACACAGCGAGAGAGGGAACACAAGCAGGGGGAGTGGGAGAGGGAGAAGTAGGCTCCCCGCAGAGCAGGGAGCCCGATGCGGGACTCGATCCGAGGACTCTGGGATCATGACCTGAGCTGAAGGCAGTCGCTTAACCAACTGAGCCACCCAGGTGCCCCAGGATATGCTTGAATTTAGAAATAAAGTGAAAGAAGTCAGACACTGGTGGAGGTCAACATATATAGGACAGCATAAAGTGTATGTATATGTATACATACATACACTTTATATATAAACATATATAGTGATATGATATAATATAATGATACACTGTGTAATATAATGTTGGATATAATGTTAAATAAGGTAGAATAATATAGACAATTACTGCAGTATGGTCTTTAAATTGATATTGATTTTATCAGCAGAACACTTATTCCTTATAAAAAAAAATAAACTGTTACAGAAGGGGGAAAAAAGATTCTTAACCCAAAGTTGTATACTATGAAAAAATTGAAAGATATTCATAGACTAGTTTGCCATTTCCAATGTGTGTACATGTATGAAGGAGAGAGAGATAAAGAATGAACTTCCCTTTACATGATACAAGTATTTTTAAAAAATACATGTATGTCATAATTTCCTAAATCAAGGCATGCTTAAAACACTAGCAGAGCTCCTGATTTAGAGGAATTGAAAAACAGAACTTTTATAAACCAATTTTAAATTTTATAAAGTCAGATTTTCAGGGTGCCTCGGTGGCTCAGTTGGTTAAGCGTCTGCCTTCGGCTCAGGTCATGATCCTGGAGTCCCGGGATCGAGTCCCGCATCGGGCTCCCTGCTCAGCAGGGAGTCTGCTTCTCCCTCTGACCCTCCCCCTCTCATGTTCTCTCTCTGTCTCATTCTTTCTCTCTCAAATAAATAAATAAAATCTTAAAAAAAAAATAAAGTCAGATTTTCATATGAAACATTTAAGATAGTCTATATGTATAGGTCTAAAACTTTTATACTTATGGTCAATGCTACAGATGTGTGGTATATAGGTTACACATTGATGGTGCTTTTTCCTGCATAATCTATATCCCTCATTACAGTGAACACATACTAGGTGGCAAACACTGGGTTTGCCAGTAAATAAGGTCCCATTCCTTCTCTTTGGGACTTCAGAGACTAGTGGGTGGGGCAAATATATTAATAAATCCAGTACAGTGTAATACATGCTATTACAGAAATGTGAGCATTTTTCTGTGGGCATTCAGAGTAAGGAATAATTCAGACTGTGACTGTCAGGAGAGGCTTCACAGAAGTAGTCTGGGTTTTGAAGGATGAGTAGGAGTTTTAGGCAAGAAAGATCATGACAAAGCAAACAGGGTGTTGTATAATGGGCATGTGTCATGGAGTTGTAAAAGACCATTTGTGTTTAGGAAAGAGTGAGTATTCTGATAATACCATAAGAGGGGGGCCTTCGCGGAAATGGCAAGAGTTAAATATGTTTGGGGAGAAAAGATGCAGCCATTTGCTACCTATCATGTTATAGAATTGGGGCTTTATGCAATTCATAGGCAATAGGAAATCATGTAAGACATTCGAGTAGAGGAGTGACATTATCAGAGCCCCTTGAAGCATCCCAACTCTGCCCCGAGTCATAGTGGGAGAATTATTTAACCACTTTATGCCAGTTGTCTTTTGTCTTTCTGTTGGTCATCTTTAGCATAGGGTCACTAACAGACCTCATAGGTGGTTGTAGTACATCTTTTCAGCACTTGAAACAGTACCTGACACTGAGAGG